GATTTAGGAAATTTCCATAATCCCCAATTCACCGACACTCTTAAATATTATAAATAGAGAGACCCATTAATCACAATTCAACAAATCTCTCATCGTATTCTCTTCGCCATAAAAACCTATAAACCCTAAATTCCTCTTCTAAATTCCCTAAAGAAACCTAACAATGGCTTCTTCTTCATCTTCCGAAAACAAGATCGTGTTGACGAGCTCCGACGGTGAATCTTTCGAGGTCGAAGAAGCAGTTGCTCGCGAGCTTCAGATCGTAGCAAACATGATCGATGACGATTGCGCCCATAAAGCAATCCCTCTCGCAAACGTCACCGGTAACGTCCTCTCCAAAGTCGTCGAGTATTGCAAGAAGCACGTCGAAGAAGGTGATCCTCTNGTCGAAAAAGACGAGGAAGCGAAGACGAAGCTTAAGGATTGGGACACTGAGTTTATGAAGCAACAGGACATGGATCTGATTNTTCAACTCGCTCTCGCTGCTAATTACCTCAACATCAAAGGGCTTCTCGATCTCACTTGCCAGACTGTTGCCGATCACATCAAAGACAAACAACCTGAGGAAATTCGCAAGATTTTCAACATCGAGAATGATTTCACACCCGAAGAAGAAGCAGCTATCCGCAAAGAGAACGAATGGTCTTTTCAATGATCCAAACTTTTTCTTAGGTTTTTTCAAGAAAAAGTTGTTAAATCTTTTGTTTAATGACTTGATTCGTCTCTTTCTAGTGTTGTGATTTTCTTTTGCGGATGTTCTATCAAAGTCATTGATTAACTTTTGTCTCTTTGATATTCGAGTTTTGGTTTGCCCTATCAGTATTTGTTTCGCATACATATACTTCTGCTAGAATCGATGAGTTTGGAAAAATATCGTTTTTTATTAACACTTTTTATAAGCTTGTGTTATATTTATTCAACTTCAGCTCCTACGTTAACGAAGAAGATGACGAATCTTCTGAGGCGTATATGTGTCTCTTTAGACACTTTGGACATCACATGAACGTATATAATTTACTAGATTAAGTTTCTTAGCTTAGTTGAAAAGTTGTGATTCTTTAACTATCCACTTTTGTTAACCTGCACAGATCGTTCTTTACTATATATATACTGTAGTTGACATACAATTTGCCGTTCTTATTCTTCTTTTTTGAATAAATATTTCACTTTTTTCTCAATTTCTCATTCCTACTGCTTTTAGTTTCGTATGTACCTCCGAACGATGACTACCGCCTCTCCTCATATATCCATCAAGTGTTCTTAATTAGATTTCCGGGGAAATCTGCGTTACAACTTCGTGATTCCATCTTATTGATGCTTTTGAAAGATATGAGATCAATTTTTTATTGGCATATACGAGCATGTAGGCAAGGACCTTCCAAATCTATTTGTTAGGATAGAAGAGTCAGAGCGTTGCGCTAGCCATCTTTTCTACAAGGTTTATAGTATACTCTTTCACTTTAGCTCTTAATTATACTTCAGACTATTCAAGATTCAGCATCGTCTCAATTATAGGTGTTCAGAATCGAGTTAGTGCATGGACGAGTTGGTGAAGGATGAAGAAACTTACGGATCAAGGAATATTTCAAGTCATACTGATGTTCTACAAAGTGAGGGTTTATTCACCTAGGTGAGTGTGGTGACAACTTTACCCTCACATCACTGGGGTTTATTCACTTCATGACAACCCAAATCTCAAAATTTTAAAACTATAGATCATCATAAACCATCTCAAAAGTTTTCTTTTAATAGATCTAATAGAATTTGAATTCAGTTTGTATATTCAAGAGCTTCTCTAATGGTCTTTAGTCTTACAGCACAATATGGGTATGTGTGCGTGTGCGTGTGTCTATTACTTAAATTGTAAACAAAATCAAAGGAAGGATTTATTCATGGTCAAATGAGCTTAATAGAAGATATAAAGGATATAAAAATTGAAATGGCTCATAAGAGAGAAGAGGAAGACTAATTGGAGAACACCAAGATTATAGTAATGCTTTGATTGAATCATAAAATGGGATCGATGAATGAGAATTGCTCAAATTAAGAGGCAGAAGACCCAAAAAAAAAACTAAGAGCAAGATCAACGGTGGATTATAGGAAAATTTTAAGGGTTGTTAGTGGGTTTAAAATAATTTAAAAATAAACTGAGTTGTTTATTTGCTTATCACCGGTGCTAATTTTACCATTTATAGCACCCCAACGTTGTGGTTGTT